CACCGTAACATTTTAGTGTCTACCGTACATAGTTGTAGATATCGTAACCACAACAGAACATCCTGCATTGTGTAACCCATGGAATTACTCCTTGCCACATTTGGGGCCAGAAAACTTCAAGAACAGAGAAACAGAAATTCAGCCAGGTTTTACAAAATTGGGGCAGGTATGTGATTATTATTATTATTATTATTATTATGGGGGTGGCTTTATTCGTTTTGTGTTTGTATTATGCAGCATCCCGGGTCATTTAAGACCATGGGGAGTACTGCTGTTGTATGTGAAGAAAATGTAATAAGGAAGACTGAGAAAAAAGAAAGAAAAAAGAGAGAAATACTGTGAACAGCAAATCTACAATGATGCATGTACAATCTATTATACAACTAATCTGCGAGAATGAGACTTAACACAAGCAGGTACAGTAATAGCAAGAGAGCTAAATCAGAAAACAAAATCCGTTGAAAAGTAACCGTCATGAAATCGAGCCCTTCAGCCCTTGTTTCGTAATACGTATTCGCATGCAACGACGCAAATCCACACAATTCAGTAGACACTTCTTTCTATCAAACGTTTTCTTTCCCTTCTCTTCAGGATAGTACAGGGAATGTTGGAAATTAGAAAAACACATAACTATATAGAGAATGAAAGAAAGAAAAAGTCAACACTTCAACATAGGTGTTAAAAATGATTAAAGTGTTAAAAACTCAAAAACAAACAGCTGCAAGTTGTAGACAAACACGCTGAACACATCAGGGAACACTTGTCACACTTTCACGAGGTGTGACACCAAACAACTGCAACGATAACACATTCTCCTTCTGTACACATAGTTCTGGATCTAGTTTACGAATATACAGAGCTTCTAACACAGCAAGATGTAACTTAGACCTTCCACGAGTCAAAATCGAAAAGATATCATCACTATACAACTTACGACAACTAGCACTGCCCGACAAATGACGCTTGATGGACGATGTCCGATCATTTAGCTCTGTCACCTTCGACGCCTGCCGTTGTTCTCTTCCGTTAGGCTTGTTTGGTTGGTTGCTCCGGTCCACACCTCCAACGTCCGTTGATTTCATGTCCGTTTTTGTTGATTTCATGGCCGTTTTCGTGTCACTTCTTGGTCTTCCTCGTTTCCTCTTGTTGATCGTTGTTGTCACTTCCATTATCGACGTATTCAGATCCCCAGTACTCCGTCTCTTCACCTTGCTTCTGGTAACTCTTCCGGTGTCTATGAGCTCCAGTGTCACATTGGGTGGTTTTCGAGACGGTCTCCCTCGCTTCCTCACGCTTGTCTGAGATGGGCCAAGCTCCCCGCCCGTCGAGGCGGAGGCGCGCATGCGTACATCTACACTGGACGCAGACAAAGGCGTTCCAGTATCGGACTGCACAGCACATTTTGGAGGACGTTGTCTGTTCGTCGAGGACATTGTCTGTTCGTCTTACCCGTGCGTGAAATTGTATTTAGTATTTGGAACGACGCGTGCGTTCGGTGTGAAGAAGGACGTTCTACCTACCCTTAGTTGAAGCAACCTTATCTATTTTTTCAGTGCCGAGAATGTGAAGATCGGTACGTAGGTAGAACCCTTCAACACCTGGGCGCACGCATCCGTCAACATGTGCCGTTAGGTCTTGTCCCTGTTGACGCTCGTGGTACTCGTCCTCGTCGTGGCCGTCCTCCAAAATGTGCTGTGCAGTCCGATACTGGAACGCCTTTGTCTGCGTCCAGTGTAGATGTACGCATGCGCGCCTCCGCCTCGACGGGCGGGGAGCTTGGCCCATCTCAGACAAGCGTGAGGAAGCGAGGGAGACCGTCTCGAGAACCACCCAATGTGACACTGGAGCTCATAGACACCGGAAGAGTTACCAGAAGCAAGGTGAAGAGACGGAGTACTGGGGATCTGAATACGTCGATAATGGAAGTGACAACAACGATCAACAAGAGGAAACGAAGAAGACCAAGAAGTGACACGAAAATGGCCATGAAATCAACAAAAACGGACATGAAATCAACGGACGTTGGAGGTGTGGACCGGAGCAACCAACCAAACAAGCCTAACGGAAGAGAACAACGGCAGGCGTCGAAGGTGACAGAGCTAAGTGATCGGACATCGTCCATCAAGCGTCATTTATCGGGCAGTGCTAGTTGTCGTAAGTTGTATAGTGATGATATCTTTTCGATTTTGACTCGTGGAAGGTCTAAGTTACATCTTGCTGTGTTAGAAGCTCTGTATATTCGTAAACTAGATCCAGAACTATGTGTACAGAAGGAGAATGTGTTATCGTTGCAGTTGTTTGGTGTCACACCTCGTGAAAGTGTGACAAGTGTTCCCTGATGTGTTCAACGTGTTTGTCTACAACTTGCAGCTGTTTGTTTTTGAGTTTTTAACACTTTAATCATTTTTAACACCTATGTTGAAGTGTTGACTTTTTCTTTCTTTCATTCTCTATATAGTTATGTGTTTTTCTAATTTCCAACATTCCCTGTACTATCCTGAAGAGAAGGGAAAGAAAACGTTTGATAGAAAGAAGTGTCTACTGAATTGTGTGGATTTGCGTCGTTGCATGCGAATACGTATTACGAAACCGTTTTTCCCACCGCCTCCAAACTACTGTTTGAATTATTATTATTATTATTATTATTCTCGTATCCATCCCGAGTGGGACTCACGACGGCAGAAATAACTGTGAGCATGTGTGTGTGTGAGAGTGGGAGAACGAAATGAAAAAGAAAAGAAGAGTCTTGTAATAAAGGTCAAATTTAAGAAGAGCAGTACTAGACTAAATGGCTGAGCAGATGTTACTCCATTGTTTTCTGTCGCGGGCATAGGTGCCGAGATCACGAAGGCAGCTGGGCTTAAAAATGCAAATAGGTGTGAGGCGGACGTCTCGCTGGAGACTTGTGGTGAGGCAAGAGCGGGGTGCACCTATTCGAAAGGGCTGACTGGTAGCATATGTACAGAAAGCAGTGAGAGCAACATTTGCAGGGATGTCACTTGGCTGGCGTAATATATGTCCTAATAGCTTCCACCTGTCCCGCTTGGCCATTTCAGATACAGAGCACTGGCCAGTAACAGCATATAAATCTGCATTTGAGATGACATCTGGGTAGGTAATTCCAAGGGTACAGCACAGCTGTTTCCTATGAAACACATCTAGGCGCTTTTCTTGTGCACGGGACAGGCCATGGCAAGCAAGGTTGTAGGTCAAGATTGGTAGAACGAAAGTGTTGTATAAACGAATTTTGATGGGTGTAGAAAGCAGGTTGTGTTTGAACCATAACTTCAGAGTGTCTCCAAATGCTCTTGCAGCCAAGCCACTACGGCGCGTTACGTCCTCCCCGGAGCCTTATAGCGAGCCGAGTGTCTTCACCTGTCGCCAAGCTTCTTTACCACGAGTTGTGCAGACATTTCTAGATGTTGTGGAGGTGGCATCTCCCAAAGTGGGTTCCAGGTAAATACGGATCCATTTAGTCTTACTGGTATTGACGGTAAGACCCCATTCGGAGAAGACGCCTGCGATGACGGGTAGGGCGCTGGTAAGGAATGATTTTGATGTGGAGATGAAGTCTACGTCATCAGCGTAAGCTGTTTCTTCAGGTAGAATGTTGTCTGATGATGGTCGGGCTGGCAGTCGGTCACGTACCATTCGTAGGGCTGCTTCCAAATAAACCGTGAACAGTACCGGTGACAATCCATCACACTGGGGGACCCCCGAGCTGTCTCAAAAGGTGCGGACTGTGCTTTGTTCACGCGAACTGTCAGCGCCGTGCCAGATAGCAGGTACCTAACCAGTCGTAAACCGTCCGCGTCTCCAATTTTCTCTTGCTCCATGACATCAAGCAGCTTTGTGCGGTTTATTGTGTCAAAAGCCTTGCTCAGGTCCAGCCCTAGCACGTAGATAGTAGTGTTGAAGCGTTCAACAATTGATGCCAGGATCCGTTTTCAAAACACAATGTCTGCGGTTGATCTGTTTTGACGGAACCCGGCTTGCGATGGAGATATATATCGCTCTACGTCAGCTCTGATCCGGCTAAGTGTGATGAGGGACAAGATTTTTCTGGCAGTAGTCAGCAATGTTATCGGACGCAAATTGTTCATGGGGCCTTTGGGTTTACCTGGCTTATGCAGAGCGATTAGTACACCATCTCCAAGGGACGCTTGGCTGTGCTGAGTGAATACATCGTTGAAAATGCTGCTTAGGCATTCTGCAAGTGCAGGGCCTCCGTATTTGACCAGCTCGGCCGGTATGTCATCAGGCCCGCAGGAGCGTTGGTTCTTTAGACGACTCATTGCGCTCGCTACCTCTGCTGTGGAAATCGGTTTATCGAGGGGTTTCGGTGTTCCTGTAAATGGCGTAACCGCTGGCTCTGCAGCAGTAGGAGAGAATTTCCCAGTGCAATGCTCAGCTATTCTATCCGCTTGCTCTCCTGGCCCAAGGACAGCCTTGCCAATGTTGTCTACAATGGTTAAATCTCGTGGGCACTTTGGTTTCAGCAGTTTTATCGCTGCAAACATCATTGGCCCGTTCTTGAGCGACTCCACTTCTCTGATGCGGCTCTCAAGATGCTGTAACGCCAGCTGTCGAGACAGGATTCGTATGTAATACCATGGCAAAATGTATAGAGAAGCAGATCCCAAACCCAGATTCTTGATATGGGTTTTTGATGCTTTCGGCCCAAATCGGACTTTCAAAAGTCAAGGAGACTGTTTCCGATGAATGGACTGTAGATGCAAACAATGTGTGGTAGGAGTGCAGCCGTATTCCAATGTGAGCTCTCTATTCTGAAACAAGTAAACGAAAGTCACACACACACACACACACACACACACACACACACACACACACACATACACACACACACACACACACACACACACACACACACGCCCAAAGCAGCAGTGAAATAAATTATTATTGCCGAAATACGCTTCCCCAAGCGAAATTAAGCGAGCCATGCTCGTTTAGAATGGTTCCATTGCTCTTGTTCACTACAGATGCGTCATTAGTTCCAAACGTCACAGACATAGAGGTTGCTTTGCACACAATAAAAATAAAATGGATGCCTGTCACGCCATCAGCTGGTTCTGTGCCAATCGGCTACCAAATCACCTACTATCCGAGAGTGAAGGAGAGCAAGGCAAGATCACAGTTTACTGCGCTGTCAGCCATTTCCATAGCTAACCTATCAGCTGGCACAATGTACCTTATGAACATATCAGCGGTTTATCCAACAGGTCAGAGTCGCCCAGCAACTGTCAATGGGACAACTGGTAAGTTACCTCGTATTACCTTTTGGAGACTTGGTAGGAATGTCGTACTTATGTTTTAAGTCCTGGACCGGAAGTGTGGGTTCCATTTCTGGGTTGTGCAATCCGATCATGCTGGAGTACAATTAGAGCCATTGAGCAGTACAATACCTGTATAATATGCCAAACAGGGCATGATGTATCCGGCATCGCAATATGCGAACCCATTGTGCCTATTTGCAATGTACCGGCAGACTTGTTGAGGGACTAGTTGCGCCCCGGCGCATCTGGAGTTTGAAAAGTCGCTAAATTACAGTGTCTGGAAGAGTGTCAAGAAGGTTTCACACTATGTATCCTCACACCGCTGTCAGATTCATGAAGGCACACGGCGACGAACTTTATTATCTTCAGCAGCTGAAGCTCCTTCTGTTTCCGGGAAAAACCTGGTTTTCATGATTTTATGTCTATGACAAGTGAAAACGTCTCCCCACGACTTTCTTTCGTGTTTTCCAATTTTTATTTATTCTGACCTTATGTATGTAAAAAATCGTGGGATGACGAAGGTGTGTACGGGTTGAAAGTATGAACTTCGGGTAACACATACATATATACACTTGGTTGTCAAAATGGATAGGTACACAGGTGATACACACGCGTGTTGTCGTGACATGAGGCATGGGCAGCAAAAACCAGGGTTAGGTGATATTTTGCGAAATGAGTTTTTGATGGCTTTGAATTGTCCAATAAATGAATGATCTAAAGGCCAAATTTTGGAGCTCTGGGCACCTTCCAAGATGGTAAAAAGAACGCCCGAAATGATGGGTCACGGTCAACAAAAATGGTCAGCAAAAAAGGCAAAATGGAACTCAGTTACAGCTAGCTCTAATGGAGTGACTGAGAACAACTTAGCATATTTATAGGTCTTCAGGGAAGTACAGAATACTCTAGTTGATATTATAGTAACATTGTAGCCTGCACTTGCTGCAATATTACTTGAAAACTCAATTACTGTCATGGCTCACACATGACGGGTTTACGTGGCTCTAGTAAAAAAATGTGCAGGTCTGGTGTTGTATGCAAACTTGTCATACAGAAAGAAGCCAAGCAACTGACGTTTTACATGGTTGTGAAGGATCTGCAACTTAGTACAAGACTAGATATGCATGTTGGGCTAGGCCAGATACACCCACCAAGCATTTCTTGCTCTCCTACGCACAGCAGCTCATAGATACATGCATTATACTGTGGAAAATGTCATGCGCACCGCAAGCGTGCATGTATACTTGCAACAATTTTATTCACAAAATATCTTGCATCAAGTCAGGTTTAGTTCATTCAGGGCTGTCTCCGTATCCCACCAACTTATCCAGCTGCGAATAGTCGCCACGGAGTACTGAATCTCGTTCGTCACTCTTAGCCCTGCTGTCCGCGTCGCCACTTCGTGTCATTGAGCTCTCAAACCCATCGTCTGCTTTGCCTCCGCTGATGGCTTGTCATCTGAGCGAAACCTCTTCACTTTCATCTGATTCTTCTTCCGGGGACTATCACAGGCAGCGGAGTATCTCTGGAGATCCAGTTGCCAAATATTCTAGTCGCTCGTGCTCCATCAAGAATTTGTGACGGGATCGTCCCGCCAAGAAATTATTTGTTCCGCTCTCTTTTGAGCGCATGATTTGCAGACGCTACGCAGAGCGCAAACGCCTCCATGGTGGCTGAAAACGCCTACCTGGACGTCCCAAGTGCTTGGCAGATAAACTACAACTGCAATGACAACAAATTATAGCGAAGCCACCAAGAGAAAAGCATTTTCAAAGCGATATCGCAAGAAGTCTGTCCGCTTTGATCGCGGTGACTAAAAAATGACATCAGTTCGGTTTTTCGCAAATATTGGCATTTTGAAAAATCGCCAGGACCCCGTTTCTTGCTGCCGATGCCTCACATGTTATCAGTTCCGATCCACAAAATGGAATAGAGATTAGAGTATGTGTGTCTTCCCCCCCCCCCCCGAAATTACCGGGTACCACTGCTCGATCTTGGATTTTCTCATCGACTGCGTTCTTTAGTTTAATTTGAAACTGTCTACTTCTACACGCACCAAAAATCCTAAATCCTCCTTTTTATCGTGCAGGTTGGTTTTGGTGTGCTCATGACGTACTTGCACGTTGCGTTGTCAATGCAGATAGCGCACCTGCGGGATCCGGAGGGTCATTCAGCTATGACATCATCATAATATCGCTGTGTGGATTGTTGGCTGTGTTCGTAATTGCCCTGCTTGTGTGTTGCGCTTGGAGGAAACACAAGACAAAGCAGAACAATTACAACTTGGAGCAAAGCAGAGACCTAGACAATAACAGTGGCAACCAACCAAGTACAGACAGCGTTAGGTGTCTGGCAACTAGACCACTCCCACCTGAGCCCGATCCAAGCTCAATGGCCAACATCAACTTCTCTGATAAGGATAGAGTGAGTGAATTGATGGCTCGACCAGTACCATCAGTACCGCAAATCAATTCCACTGACACAGCCGCCTTAGTAGATAACGTGGTCGTGGGGGATGATGCAGACGAGGGTTACGAGGATATCGACGGTCATGTCTATGAATATCTCTGATTTCAATGAGCACCCTAGTTTTCTTAGAACAGTGTGTGTTGTCGTTTGATTCCATAGCCACGCCTGCGTCTGTCCTGCACGTGGAAAATACATGGTCTCTCCCTCTTTTACACATAGGACAGCACAAAAAGCAAACATGAAAGGCAGCAGGAGGGGGGGGGGGGGGATTATGATTTCTGAAGTATATGAATGGCGGGAGGTTTTCTTTCGTGCATGTTTGTTTCTTTCTTTTATATGAATTCGTTTAGAGCACAGGCAATTCTGCCTTCTCACCAGAGGAAATACCTCCGGTTCCTGCTAAGAACGAACATGATATTATGAGAGAAGGAAATATTAAAAAGAATCATAACATGATAATTTCAAAGCACAAAGTTTGTATATACAGGTCCTCCCTCGTTATAACGAGTCCGGTTAGTACATAAACCCAGTTACTAAATAGAAATCTGAAATCCCCTGGCGAAACGTGGTCTATACTGTACAACTGTTTACAGGTCCGGTTACAACATAATCCGTTAGTACACAAAATCCGTTATAACGACCCTTTGCCCAGGTCCCTGGAGTGCCAAACCCTCAGTATAAGATAATATTGACCATGCAGGACCAAGGCCAAAACACGTAGGATAAAGCAGAAAGAGGAAACGTATTATGTCTATGTATTCGTGAATATGAACGATCCTTTGGATCCAAGGAAGAGTTATATTGGAGAGTTCAATTATCTTATAACGAGTTGAAGCATCGAAAAGTTATGTTGTATCGAGGGTAGCCCCGGTAAGTACGAAGTAGTGCCTATTTTACCTTTAGCTGCAAGTCCTGCTACAATATAAGTCTCGTTATAAGATAACTTTTTCGATGGCCCAGAGATTATCTACTAACGAGGGAGGACCGGTAATTCAAAATGGGTGTGTATGTGTAAGCATGCAGTGAAGAACACACAGAGAAAGCATGCAGTAATTTGTAGGGATGTCGAGCAAGGTGGTTACAAATTACAATTAATTTTGTTCAGAGCCAGTTTAAAGGCAAACGGCGCACTGTGGATGCGAATATCACTGGGAAGGGCATTCCAAAGAGTGCTTCTCACAAATGTCAATGACTGCCGACCGGAAGGTCCAGGAAGGAAAGGCACTTGCAGTAGCCGCTGTTCCTGTCCTCGAGTAATTCGGCGATCATCCCGGGATGCTTGGCCTGTTTTAGCCATCAACTGAAAGTAGGTGCAGAAAAGAGGACTTGCAAGATCATGTAGGCAACGGAAAACAAAAAACAAAACCTTGTAGTTAAAAATGTTAGTTAGGGATCGAATAGATAAGCGCACGAGGAGTGGGGGCTGTGGATGCACGGCTGGAGAGTCGGAAAATTGCACGAATTCCGGATTTGCTGGATTTGATTAAACGGCTCTGCAGCTGCTGTGTCAGCGACGGAAAGAATGCACTGGATGCGTACGTTAGTCGTGCTTGCACAATGCCAATGTACCAAAGTCTGCGGGTTCTTATGGGCAGAGATCGCCCATGACGCCATAGGTGGCTGATGGCGACTGACGCCTTCTGCACAACAATGGAGACATGTGGCTGCCAGGATAGCTTGTCATCAATGGTTACGCCAAGGTATTTGGCAGTGGAGGTAGCAGTTAAGGCTTGATCCTTACATTTCACGACTGGTATGTCGCCAGTGAGTCCCCGAGGTTGAATTACCATGACTTGGATTTAGCCGGTAATCAGCAGAAGCCCAATTTCGGAGAGTCAGTCAGACAGACGTGTCACAGCCGTAGTCAACGTCCTGCAAACAGTGTCCAGATGTGAATCAGAATAATCTAGGATGATGTCGTCCGCAAACTCCTGATGAACAACAATGCAAGGTATGACGTCGGAAATGTCACTTGTGTAAAGGACAAAGAGAAGCGGCCCAAGACCACTGCCTTGGGGCACACCTCTTGAGCATGGGACTGCATCAGAGAGAGCCTCACACACATTGACACGCTGAGTACGACCGGACCGATAGCTAGCCAGCCATAACAATACTCTGCCATTGACTCCCAGGGTGAATAGTTTATCAATCAGACGTTGATGTTGGACATGGTCAAACGCTTTTGACATGTCAACCATCACAATACCTGTGTATTTTCGCTCTTGTTTGGCCAACAGCCAACGGTTGGCGGCTAGAACTAATGCATCTTCGGTAAAGTGCATTTTCCTGTAGGTAAACTGACTGCTAGGTAATATGCTATGTTGCGTGAGGTATGCTGTGAGTTGTTTCTTTACAAAGAACTCCAAAATCCGGGACAGAATAGGGAGCAATGACACTGGTCTATAGTTAGTAGGGGATGTTGCATCGCCACTCTTGAACAGTGGACTAATGTGTGATGTTTTAAAACACACTGGCACAGTACCTGATGTCAAGGATGCATTGACTAGGGTGGTAAATGGAGGTGCTAGGACGTCTGAACACTGCTGCAGTACAATTCCAGGAATGTTGTCACTCCCAGATGCTTTGTGAGGACTCACAGTTTGCAAGCATTGTGCAACATCAGACACGCTTAAAGGCTGAAATGTTGAGAAGCGAGATGCAGAGGCTGGACCATGTGGTATATGCAGCTCAGGTGGCCGCATAGGGTCATGCAAAATGTCTCCAAACAATTTACTGAGTGACTCAAGCGGCGCTTCAGGTTCTTTCCGTGTCTTCTGTCGGCCTGTGACATCGTTCATGACAGCCCGAAGTTGCCGTTGATCTGATGTATCACATCTCTTAGTGAAGTACAAGTTGCGCAGACTCCTTTCCAATTTTCGTGCTTTGGAGCGAGCTGATCGGTGTGTTTCTTGAAGGTTCTGATCGGTTTTGTATCGGAGCCAGAGACGATGCGCCCGGTTCCGTTCACGAACACTTGCCACTAACTCATCTGTAATCCAGGGGCAAGGACGTCAAGATTTGAGGCGCCGTTCCCGAAGTGGAGCATGTTTGTCTAAAGTGCTCTGGATTCCCGCAGTGAGTGACGACGCAAGCACATCCACACAGACAGAGCCACAGGTCTAGCCCGAGAATCCTGGGAGTCACTGTAGACAGTGATGTTTCTTGGTCTGGTCACATAGACTTTATCGTTAGGAAGACTTGCACAAAAGTTGGCGAACTTCGACGGTGTTTTTGGCAACTAAGTTTGAAGGCAACATGGCAGTTTATCCTCTCTGTTATCCTGCCTGACTTATTATACTGCTGCTCTTGCTTTGCAATGAAGCTATCCGCCAAGGACCGACAGCGACTCTCGTCCGTTTATTGTCGTTCTGTACGCGCTGCTTGTGGCTCGAAATTACAAGATGACGTCATGCCGCTGTTAGCTAGATTGTCGATTGATCCGATTGAACATTACCTTATTCGTAGCATTGCTAAATTTATCCATGTTAATCATGTCGTTTTCCCTCTCCCAAATCTGACGGACCTTTTTCCTCAAGTTTCAACCGGCCCTAGGACAACAAGAAGCTCTTTTAATACTGCTATTGCAATATGTAAATTCCGGACGACTGACGGTGTCAGTTTCTTTTTAAATCGTGCTGCACTTTTCTTTAATTCTTTGCCTGTGGAAAGGCGCACCCAGCACCGCACTACATTTGCTAAGCACCTTCAGACCACGCTAAAAGACGCAGCGTCTTTTCAGAAGTATTTTGATCTTCTTTTCAGCAAACGCCCTCATTGATCTGCATTGCCTGTATTGTATAACTGTGTTTACTGCGTTCCTAGTTTAAATTCGTTTTTAAAAACATCTCTTTAATTCTTGCCTTATCCCATTATGAACATGCTTAAAGATGCAGCGTCTTTTCAGATTTATTTTGATCTTCTTTTCAGCAAACGGCCTCATCGATCTGCATCGCTTGTATTGTATACCTGTGTTTACTGCTTACTGCTTACTGCTGCTTTATTGTTCCAAGTATCAGTTTAGTTTAGTTTAAACATCTCTTATTATTATTTTTCTCACCCCACACCCCTCTACTTTGTATCGGCCCTCTTAAGAGTTGTGTTCATCACTGTTGAGGCTTCCGATGGAAAATAAAAGAATACTACTACTACTACTACTACTACTACTACTACTACTGCTACTACTACTGCTACTACTACTACACACACACACACGCACACACACGTGCGCACACACACACACACACACGTGCGCACACACACACACACGTGCGCACACACACACACAACACACACACACACACACACACACACACACACACACACAACACACACACACACACAGGTCAGAACATGTACATAAACATACTGATACCAACCCACTCGCGCACACACATACATACGCGCACATACATACACATTACAGACACACAGATGCAAACACTCACAGCTCGTGAACAAGATTTTGCGAAAGATCTCAGCGCTTGTGTTCCATGGCGTTTCGTGCAAAGTACAAAGAACGTCAGGCTGTGCGCAATGCAAAGATTTGCAATTATGTTGACCTTTTGCACACATGTTTAGCTGACGGAGTCTGTAGCACTCTCCTTGCTTTTCTCCAGCACATGAAGATACCCAGAAGAACACTACGACTTGTACAGCCGTGGCACAACCGTACTTGGAGCACTGTTCAAGTACCAGCATCAGCGGCGTGCTGCTAGCAGCTACCAGAATGTTGATGACAGGTCTATTGTGTGGTGCAATCTGCATGATGACAGATGTAATGACCATATGGCATTTTATATTATGAGTGTGCCGTCAATCCTTTCTGTAGCAGGTCTCTTGCCGACCACCTGTGAGACATTCCCCATTCTATCTTACACGTCTTCCCTTGACACATGACTCATTGCCGCACTTGGAATTCTACACCTGAGTACAGTCTTATGTGAGTGATTCTAGCGTAGTCAAAATAGAACAAGCACATGTACACGGAAAGACACAACACATTTCTATTTTGTCTACTGATCAGGCGCCACAGCAATGCTGGATCTGTGCATTCCGCTCCTAAGACCTTGTGTTTGTGATTCCTAACCAGTACTACTGGAAGCACAATTCCGGAGCAGTGCCTTAGGAACACGGTTATATGCTCTCCAAAGAACTCACGGCAATACACCCAGCATTATATTTCCTAAATTTGGACTTCAGAACACCTAATCGAACGTCACGCTGTATGCATGT